TTATTCAAATAATTCTTACGAGAAAATCAAATCTTCCTTTTACTTCTGTCTCAGTAAATTTTCATCCCTAGAATCTTATTTGTTGGTCCCAAGTCCTTCATATCAAACTCCCTGGCCAATCGTACCTTCAATTCTTGGACTCAATCTTTGTTAGGACCTATTACCAACATGTCATCCATGTACAACAATAGAATGATGAAATCATTATCTTCTTCAAACTTCTTATAATACGTGTAATGGTATAAACTGAGTCTGTTGTACCCAAGGCTAATTATAAAGGAATCAAATCTCTTGTACCAATACCTTGGCACTTGTTTGAGATTGTATAGAGATTTGTTCAACCTGCAAACCAAGTTCTCCTTGCCTGTTTTAGTAAAACCTTCTAGTTGGAGCATATAAATTTCTTCTTCAAGTTTTTTATGAAAAAATACAGTTTTCACATCTAACTGCTTTAAGTGAAGATCAAATATAGCACACATCGCCAAAATTACTCTGATTGTAGTAAGTCATACCACCAGGAAAAATATCTCATTGAAGTCTATTTCTTTCTGAGCATATCCTTTCACCATCAATCTTGTATGATATCGCTCCACTTGATCATTTCTATTATGCTTTATCTTGTAAACCTATTTGTTACCAATGACCTTTCTTTCTTATATTAGTGGAACAGGATCCCAAGTGTTATATTCTTGTGTAGAGTTTCATTCTCCTCTAACATTGTTGTCATCCACATAAATACATCTATGCTTTTGATAGCCTCATGGAAAGTTGATTGATGGCTCTTCATTCTCTGTTAGAAGACAGTATGCAATGTTGCTCTAAATAACATATTTTGTGTGCCAAGCCAGTGGTTTTCTTTCACGAGTTGACCGTCGAACTTCAGGAGTTTCAAACTCTATTTGTTATTGTTCTTCATGCTCTGGTACAATTTTAGATTTTGAGTATTTTCCATCTTGACTGCTATAGTCTTCTTTAAAATACTATTATATTCTTTCATTTGCATTTTATCTTTCACAAATATGACATCTCTGTTGATGACTACCTTGTGGGCAGTAGGATCCCACAAACGATACCCCTTCATACCATTCGCGTATCCCAAAAATACATATTTTCTATATTTTAAATCCAGCTTGTTGACTTCTTAAGTATTGTACATTATATATACAGGACTTCCAAATATATGTAATCGAGAATAATCAGTTGGCTTTCCACTCCACATCTCTATCGGTGTTTTCAACTCAATTGCAGTTAATGGAGATCGATTTATCATATAACATGCGACATTGACTGCTTCTGCCCAAAATGACTTTCTTAGGCCTGCAGCCTTCAACATTGCTTTTGTTCTTTCTAATAGAGTTTTGTTTATTCACTCCGTCACTCCATTTTATTGTGGAGTGTATGTCGTTGTGAATTGCCTTTTGATACCTTCATGTGGATAAAAGTTATCAAATTCATCACTAGTATATTCTCCTCTATTGTCAGTCCTTAAACACTTGATTTTCTTTTCAAATTCAAGTTTCACATGTGCTTTGAAAATTTTAAAGACTGCAAGCATATCTGCCTTCCTTTTAATTAGATATACCCAACATTTACTAAAAGTTATCTATGAATGATACAAAGTATTTTGCTCCTCTCAAGGATATGACCGGTGCTTACCAAACATCAAAGTGAATCAGGACTAAGATGTATTTACTTTTAGTTGTTGATGTGCCCAACTTCAACCTGTGTTGTTTACTTATAACACAGGGTTCACAAAAGGGTAAAGTAACCTTTATAAGCCCATAGAGTAACTTCTGATCAGAGAGAATTTTCAAACCTTTCTCTGACATGTGGCCTAATTTTTTATACCACATCACCGTCTTCTCTTCTGTAGGACTGGCTGATGCGATTGAAGCCTCTGTCTTATGATATGTTTCTCCCATTAATACAAACAAGTTGCAATTATTTTTCTTGCTTTTAAAGCCACCAATGCTTCTTTGACAATGTTTATAATTTTCTTGTTCGTTCGAATCTTATAACTAAGACTATTAAATTGTTTCACGGATAAAAGATTCTTATTTAAGCCTTTCACATGTGGCACTTTAGAAATAGTATGAATTAAGCCATCATACATCTTTAATTTGATGGTGCCAATACCGGCAATCTTTAAAGCATGATCATTACTTATAAACACTGAGCCTTCAGAGATGGGTTCATATGTATAAAACCAAACCAATCTCGATTAGGAGTCATATTTCATGTTGCTCTTGAATCCATTAACCAAACCTTAATGGGCTCTTTTCTATATGTAGAGACTATCACTGCTTTACTATATAAAACCTACCTATCTTCTAAGGTGCTTGCAACACATCCTTGAGGTTTTGATGACTCTGCAGTGTTCTCCATACATTTTTTTCAACCAACAATCCCTTTTGAATTGCCATTTTCTACCATAGTTTTAACATTTCACAGTTTTCTTACTTCTTAATTTGGACCTTCCATACTTTTAATTCCTACTAGAGCCACGCTCCGTTGATTTTCCTCTTAACATCAATAACATTTCTGCTTGGTTTGAACTATTTTTGTCTTTTTTGTTTTTATGCCTATTTTTTTCTTCCAAGATAGCGACTGCAATATCATCAAAGACTAAATAGTCTCAGAGGATATTATTGGTCAAGTTGATAATGAACTGATCACACAAATTAGGAAGACTTTGAAGTAGAAGCTTTGTATGTTTATTTTCCTCTATTTGTTGACCCAATGTAATGACATGTAAAAATAGAGTTCTTATTGTGTTGATGTGGTTAGTCACCGACATGGTTTCTACAATTCGAAAGGTATAAAGTCTCCACTTTAAGAAAATTTTATTGTGCAAAGACTTGGACTCATATAGCTTTATCAAAGTATCTTGTATCTCCTTAGCTGTTTTCTTCTCTACCATACTTGATAATACTTTATCAGTTAATACTGAATGTATCTTAGCAATAGCATTGCCATCCATCTTATTTTATTTTGCATTATCAGTTATCTCTGTAGGCCGATCCCTAATTGCTGTCAAACAATTATCTTTTTTTTAATATTGTCTTAATTCTCATTTTCACAGTAAGAAATTGCTCCCCCTGAATCTTTCAATCTCATACTTTGCTGCCATTTTATTCACCATAATCTATTCATCTATCACCGTTTAACATATCTGTAATATATATAGAAATAGTATTGTGTGAATAATACTTCACCAAGTAAGTTCCTAGGAAAGATTGAAGGGGTTACAAACGATCCCGCTTATAACTCAATCTTCTTAGACAGAACTTCTTAAACTATATTTAATCACTACACTGACTTTCTATATACACCAATAGTAACGTATATAAACAATACCGTATTGATGAATAGTGCGTTAGACATGAATAGTACCGTATACATGAATAATGTTTATGTGTTAACAACACTAAACAACCAAGCTTTGATACCACTGTTAGGATAGTGACATGCAAACTCGATAAGATAAAAGGTAAATGATAGAATAAAATGAGAAATGAACACATAAGAATTTACGTAAAATCATAGAAAATGAAGATGCCAAGAACGCAGAAAAATGAAAAGAAGACTTAAAGCTAAAGATACCTTTTTCTGGCCTGGGCAAGCTATAGCATTCAGTTTCCAGCTCAGTGCTGCTATTTCCCCTCAATCCACATAGCTTTCCTGTTGCTTCACAAGATCTACAATTGGGATTGGACCAGGACAAACGAATATCTTGTGGAACAGGTAGGTCGTACATCTTGGTACAAGATAATAATAACTCATTGCCATCAATAGATAGTTCTGATTTAACGGCAAGAACATCGTAGTGGAGGGTACTTAAACAAGGGACCATCCAGTTCTGGGATCTTGCATTATTTAAAGAACAATTGAAGATGGTAAAAGTGACCTTGGACATCTTAAACTGTATGTGAAACCCAGACGAATAGAAGTTTGAGTGTTGGCTTAGAAGGCAACCTTGGGGATCACTTGCATAAATAACTTGATTTTTGTAGTCAATCTTATCTATGTGAAGCTTCACTGCATCTTGCAGCTCGAGCACTATATCGCCCTTCTCATTGCAAGACAGATCAAAACCAGGATAGCCACACTGTTCTAGCTGCCTATCCTTTATCCAGAATGGAAATCGGATGTGAAGGCCACGGTTCCCACAAGATCCTGTGCAATTAAGGCTTGCTCCAAGTTCTGCAATGAACATGAAATAGAACAGGCATATAGCCTTTTTTGATGAACCTTTCATCGTTGCTTCCTATGGTGATAGACTTTCGACCTAACAGTGTCCAGTTATTGCAGAAACAATAGTAAGCTCAGATGGGAGCAGCATGGGTAACTCTGATACCTTCTTTCTATGACAGCTTGATCAACTAAAAGTGCTCAAGGGTAACTCTGATACCTTCGTTTTACTTGCCTAGATTAAGCACGCAGAATTGACCTCTCTTGCGTTCAATGTATTAGTGGTTCCGTGTCAGTTAAGGATTATGGCACCCTCACTTTCTTTCCACTTTCGAAAGGAAAGAGGGGGGAAGCAGAGCTTGAACCTACCTGGTGCACTTGGGTCGTTGATCTTTGGCTTTTTTTCACAAATTGTTGTCAAGAAGGTGCTCTATCTGTTGACGCATGTGGTGTTGAGAGTTGGTGGATTTGTAGTTTATTTCAAAGTAATCTTTGCTTCATGACTTTGACATTTCAAAGGATGACTTGATCATTTTAATACGCTGATGAAACTCTCAGATTGAAACAATGGTTTTTAGGTTTTAATTCTTCTATGTTTCTCTTTCTCTTGTAAAAGAAACAATTTCATTTAAAAGAATTTTTAATATATTATTTATATATTATCTTGTATTTAATTTTTATTAAATAAATTAAAATTCATAAACCTTTAATCATCAAACATTTAATATCATATTAAAATACCAACTCAACTTAAAAATTTAAATCAAGTTAATTTTTAAAATATAATTTATATTATTCTATCATTACAGCTCTAACTGTTGTCTTTAAATACTTGATGGATTGATTGTGGACTACGCACTCTTTCTCCACCCATGTCTAGGCTCCTCTTTGCTGGCTACATAGCCTTACTGCTCCTGCTGCTAGTCCTCCAAACCTGCAACTGCGAGGATAACAATCTCTGTGCCCCTTCTTCATGTGGCAATCATACTATTAGCTACCCCTTGAGACTAAACAGTGATCCATCTAACTGTGGAAATCATAATATTAGCAGCCCCTTTAACTATACCCTCTACTGCGAGAAAAATATCTCCACAGTATTGTATTTAGACTCACGAAAATACTACGTGCAGGCAATCAACTACAACAACTTGACAATCCGAGTGGTTGATGCTGGGGTTAAAGAAAATGATTGCTCTTCGCTTCCTGATTTTTCTTTAGCATTTGATAGCCTAGGTAATTCCAGAAGGGCATATACTATTTTTACTTCAACATATACACGCTTTGATCATATCAGATTTCCATATACATGGTTTCAATACAGAAAGACAGGGCGGAAATGGTTTCCCGAATACAAGCCTCTTCCGTTATCGCAGATAATGATTTTCATAAACTGCGCAAATCCAGTGGATTCTCCTCTGTACGTAGACACTGGCACTTGCCTTAATGGAGCAAAATATTCCAATGTTTCTCTCTCGATGCGTTCTTATGTGAATGTTGGTGGCATGAAGGCCTCGGATTTGATGGAATTGTGCAGCTTAGAGAGGATGACGTTGTTGCCAGTCAAGGATTACAAGAGCATGTCCTATAAGGAAATTCACAGTCAGCTGGCATATGGGTTTGAGCTTTCATGGCACAATAGCATGTGTAGAGCAAGCTGTGCGAATGGATGCTACATCGATGATTCGTACAATACACACTGCATAGGTGGGCAATATTGAGTAACAAACTGTTCGTTTTTCTATCTTCAACTTCTCCTTGCATGATTTCCCCATTTCTGCATCCTATTGTAGTGCTGAGGATCGTACGGTCAGTTCAATCAAGCTATCATAGGCTGCAGATGGTCATATGACTTATATCATTTGTCATAATAATTCGTGGTTTTCTTTTATTCGACGATAAATGATATTTTTATACCAATTTTCAGCAAATTTATTCAAACAAAACTAAGTTTCGCTTCTTTAATACATTCAGAAAAAATTAATAAAATCTTCTCGATATTAACCTCAAGATTTGAATTCAAAACGTAAAACCAGGATAATTTTGCTAAGTCATTCACTAGTTTCTTCAAAATTTCTTTCGTCTTGTAATAACCTCCGTTATATATTTTCTCAAATCACAAATCTAATCTTTGTAACTGATCTCTTGGTACAGACGGATTTTCTTGGTTCTGGATAACCGCAAGTGAGGATTCTATCTCCCCACTTCTTCATGCTTAATTCTTACTATAATATCTCTAAATTTGTTTACCTTCTCTGCAGCCGTGCTGGTGTTTGCATCCATGTTCATTGGTAAGAACTTCCCTTATTGATTATTTATATTTTTTCAAGCTATGATATTGGATCATCTTTTATTAGCAGATACAAAATGATAATTCCTAAATGTCTTCTTATGTCAAGTTCTGAGACATACCTTTTGGTTAAGAGTACGCTTTTCTACAAATCTTGATGGTCTAGATTTGGATGATTTTTCAACTAGGCGAAAAAATTCTAACACCAAACCTAATACATGTTGTGTGTTTATCTTATAATCAATTACAAATAGTCATGATTTCGGTCTTTGATTCCCCCCTTCAAATTTCACACACAGCACTACTTCAGGGGCCAAAATTTATCTTTGGGAGTCCGTTTGTGATTGCATTCTTGATCTATAAATGGCGACGAAGACATCTATCAGCATATGACACAGTTGAGGAATTCCTACAGACTCATAACAATCTTATGCCAGTCGTAAGCTACTCTTATTCAGAGATTAAGAAGATGACCGGAGGTTTCAAGGAAAAATTGGGTGAAGGAGGTTTTGGTTGTGTGTACAAGGGAAAGCTTCGCAGTGGGCATTCTGCAGCGATAAAATTGCTGGGCAAATCCAAGGCTAATGGACAAGATTTCATCAATGAAGTCGCTACCATTGGAAGGATTCGCCACACCAATGTAGTGCAACTAGTTGGTTTTTGTGCTGAGGGATTAAAGCGCGCTCTTGTATATGATTTCATGCCCAATGGATCTCTCAATAATTTCATTTTTTCTCAAGAAAGATCTGTCTCTTTAAGCTGGGAAAAACTGCATGAGATTTCCCTTGGAGTGGCTCATGGCATCGAATATCTACATCGAGGTTGTGAGATGCAGATCCTACATTTTGACATCAAGCCTCACAACATTCTTCTCGATGAAAACTTCGCTCCAAAAGTTTCTGACTTTGGGCTTGCTATGTTGTGCCCAGCAAATGAGACCGAGAAATCTCTCACTGCAGCAGGGGGAACGATAGGCTACATGGCGCCAGAGCTGTTCTACAAGAACATCGGGCGCGTCTCATACAAAGCTGATGTTTATAGCTTTGGAATGTGGCTATTGGAAATGGCAGGCAGAAGGAAGAACCTGAACGTATTGACAGAGAATTCAAGCCAAAAGTACTGGCCAGATTGGGTTCATGACCAAGTCTCTAATGAGAAAGCTATAGAGATTGGAGATGGTGGCACGGAAGAGGGAGAAAAGATAGTCAAGAAGATGATTATTGCAGGGTTGTGGTGTATACAAATGAACCCTCTGAATCGCCCTGCAATGAACGAAGTTGTGGAGATGCTTGAAGGAGATATGGAAAGCCTGCAACTTCCTCCGAAACCTGTTCTAAATCTAGATGAGAAACCAATGAGCACTTGTGGAGAGTCATCTTCCATGTCTGATTATTCTACTGAATCAGTCAGCTTGATTGAAAATGCATATAATTAAGTGATCTTGTATGAAATAGTCTGCTCATGTGCAGGGGAAGGCTTGTCCCATCAATGATACTAGTTCTTTGATAGTTAATACCTTATTTTCTGGTTGTGTAACTAGCTAAGAGAGTCCTAGTTGGCTTGTTTGGTTTGAACTGATCCACGTTCTTATCAGATGAAATTTTTAGATCAAATCTGCAACTGATAGATATTCTTCTTGATTCGTTTTACTATGATTTCAAAAAAGGTATGCTTCAATCCAAGTTTTATATAAAATGTCTGATCTCTCAAGAATTTGATTATGGACATATGCATAGCCAACGTTGTCTTTCCCACTCCCCACTATCCCGTAAATGCCAATACATGAGACCTCATCATTCAACAGCCAACAGCATATACCTTCCCCCATTTCTTCGAAACACTTTCTTTCTTCTCGGCAATGAATGTCTTCTAGTCCTTAGCCGTTTCAGCACAGGTATTCTAGAGCTTCTGCTTCCGTGGTTGTGGAGAAAGTAGGATTCAGATAGAGAAGCAGATGGCAGTGGACTTCAAACAGAATCAAAATGCCTGCTCAATGACGTTCTTCAGAAGACTTCAAACAAAATGGATGGATCCAATGCACAAGTTGCCCTTCCAGCTCAAAGACATGTCGTTTTCACTACAACCTGTCGTTTAAGCCGTTTATGGCATCAAAAGTCACGTGTATTTGGAGAACCCAACCGTTGGTAAACCGCCATAAACCGCTCTGCTAAGCACAGTTTACACATCCCATTTGAAAGCAGAGACATAAATTCACAAACTTTGAGTTTCTTTCTCAGTCATGGCACTCGAAGTTCACTTAGTTTCACTCTTTTGCCTCATTTTCGTTGCATCATTGGCTTCTACACCTGTAAGATCAGGTACCTTGTCTAAAAAATCATCCTTTAACATCACTATAATTTGTAAAAAAGTGAGCGACAGTTCATTGATAACTTGATATTTCTTACAGAACAAACACAAGGACCCTACTTTGTATTCAGTTGGTTCAGCGACTAATTTGTAAAAAAGTGAGCGACAGTTTATTGATAACTTGATATTTCTTACAGAGCAAACACAAGGACCCTACTTTGCTTTCAGTTGGTTCGGCGACAACAACACATTCCAAGCAGGAGATGTTGCAACTATAAAGATCAAAGTGCTAGGAGAGTTTGACAGGAGTAAAGGAAATGCTTTTAGTCCTAAAATAACAGTGAATGGCAAGATGGGGAATTCTTGTTTTGTGTCTGGAGTTTTACTTGATTTTTCAGGAGAAGATACGGATGCTTGGAGAATTCTTTTCACTCCAATACGGGTTGGAGTTTTTAATGTTTTTATTGAAGATGGCCCTTTTCATGTCTTTGATTCTTCTCTCCATTTTGAAGTTAAAGCAGGTTTTTTATATAGTTCTTGCAGCATTATCAGTTCAAGTTTTGGTTCATTTTTGTGTTGATTGATATTTTAGTTACTGTTCTTGATTAGGGAAAAGGCTAGATTTGTTGAAGTTCTAAGGGTGACTCTTTTGGATCTGTTGTGTTCAACTAAATGTTTTTTTGGTTCATCAATAACAGTGAGCAAATAACCTTCAAAATGTATGCTAAATTGCTAACCATAGTCGGTGTTGTTTTACTGAAGGGAAAATATATGCATCTGCCTGCATTGCGTCATGGAGGGATCTCGAAAATGAGTTTGAAGCTGGGGCTAAAGCTACAGTTTTGATTGTTCCTAGAGATGCATTTGGGAATAATGTTACTTCAACGGGACAAGAACTACGTCCTTTTAATTTTACTGTATCTGGACTTTACGAAAACGGTAGCATTGCCAATGTGCCAGACATCACTCACATAGGCTGGAATGAATTTGGTCAGATCATTCTCGAGTTTATTGCTACAAAATCTGGAAATTTATTGTTGCATGTGGAAGGAGGAAATCAGACCTTGAATGGCTGTCCGCTTCTGTATAAGGTGAATCCAGGTGATGTGCTGTAGCATTTATCATCAGCTAATAACTTGTTTTTATAGGAAACACACAGTTTTTTATTCTGCTCCAAATTCGTTGTCATTTCATTGCTGTTATTTTGTTCATTCAATTGTTTAGCATTTATCTTTTCCTATTTTTGTTAAGATTTTGAACTGCCTTTACCAGGACCTGTCGATGTTTCCACTTGTGAGGCCACTTGGAAGTTTGAAACAAATGCATGGCAAATATTCTCCAAGATGGAAACTTGTATACACCAGAAAGATAAATATGGGAACCCTGTTCTAGGATTCTATGAATTCGACACCAATGTTGTTGAAGAGGAGATGAATCTGTCTATACCTCTTGCAGATATGAGCTTCACCAAGGTGATGCCAGGAATTCAGTTATGTTCCTTCAGTCTGCTGGAACCAGGAAACTTCTTGCTCACTATATCAGATACAAAACATAATAGAAGCATCTCCAACATGCCATTTTCTTTTAATGTGTTCATAGGTGAGTGTAACATGCTGCTGAATTTGGTATTTAACAATCATTTGGTGTCAGTGTTTATCCCTTTGCATAGTCTAGCCGTCTCTTCTGGGCAGCCTTTTGCTCTTAATTTTCCCACTTGTAATGAATTGCTTCCCTACCAGTTTTTTAGGTCCAAAACTAGGTTTGCTTTTTTCTTGTGGTATAGCATAATTGACTTCTCATGCTTTAATTGCTTAATATAAAGTTATATTTTCTTTCTGAAGTGGCGCTCGTTTTATGTTTTAATTTGAACAGGTTATGCTGATGGATCATCCAGCATAATCAATGGATCTGGTTTAAATGATTCCACTGCTGGTGAAATTGCACAATTTTCAATTTATTTGAATGACATTTTTCAATATCCATCTTTTGTCGGAGTAGAAAGCATTCGAGTGCAGATAATAAGGGAAACTGATTCCTATTCAGTAAAGCCAAGCATCAATCCAATTGTTAATGGTATATGAAATTTTTAAATCATAAAGTTTTCTCTTAATGAACAATTCAGAAAATCTAACAATGAAGCATGGATCTATGAAATAGGAAATGTATCTACTCCAAGAGTGGGCAATAGTTCTATCCGTCAAGCAGAAATTGCTCTGGCACCGTCTGAAATTGCTCCCGTATCCTCAGTTGATCTAGGAAAAATTGTAAGATGTTGATTTACATATTCCCTTCAGGCGCGGTTGTACTGCATATTCTAACTATTTCTATTTTGATTCAGTCTACAGGAAACTCAAAAGTTCTGGCCAGTGCTTTTAATGTGATTTACACTCCTGAAAAGAGTGGAATCTATGAAATTTATGTGTTTTGTGGAAATGTTTTGCTGAATGGTGGCCATTCATTCAGAAAGGAAGTGAGAGCAGGTATTGTCAGTAATTTAACCTTTGATTTGGACCGATTTCCTAAATTTTCGTTGCCATTCATCAAGAAGACATGCTGTTTATGGTTCAATCATTTCTTGGTTTCTTACAAGATCAAGGTCTGAACTTCCATTTTGGTAGTCATATATGTTGTTGAGCTTTCTTGTTCTGTTTTGAATTTCCTGATAATAATGGGGGTAACTGCATCAATTTCTGTTTTACAAAGAGGTTTCTACTGTGATGTAGGTGAGGTTAATGTATCACTCTCGAAAATTCAGAAATTTTCTTCGAGGGCGCCAAAGATGATTGAAAATGAAATGGCAGTGCAACTGGTGGATTCATTTTTTAATCCTGTCCTATCCCAGCAGTCAAGACTGACACTAGAGATAGCTTCAGTTAACAAGTCTGGTTTTTCAAGTGGAATGTTTGTGGATAACGATAATGGTACATACTGCATTCGATATGTGGTTAAGGATGTTGGAACTTATGAGATGTGTGTTTCTTTTGATGGCAAACGTTTGTCACCCTGCCCCTTCGGAGTCAACGTGTATGGTGGTATGTTTTACAGCTCCCCTCCATTATAGACAATCATCAAAAGCATATAATGGTAGTCCCTCTGGTATAGCAATCTGCACTTGAATTATTGGCATGATATTATTACGTATGAGCTTGTTTCTCCTTCCAACTATGCTTCAAGTAGTGACTTTTTCTTGTTTTCTTCATCTTTCAGTTGAATACTTTCCCAAGGCCAACGACGATAACATTTCGGTTTGGGAGGATGAGTCTATTGCTTTCGATGTCTTGGCGAATGACTACTTTGCCGGCAACAATGCAAGTATTGTTGAATTATCGAAAGTAAGTCATGAAGTCCGAGTTCTTTTCATGCTCTTTGATGATCTTCTCGTGCCTCTCTCACATGCTACATTCAAGGAAATGTTTCTCAGTCTGACTGAGAAATTACGAGGTTTTAAACTACTGAAAGTACAAATCCATGCTTTGGTGATTCCTTGGTCCAAAATTTTAATATCAGGACTTACTCTTTTCATGTTAGATAGTATATCACTACTTGCTATTTCACATTTAAGATTATGAATAATGCTTTCTTCGGAAGAATTTTCTTGGAAAAATCACTTAACTGCTATGTATTCTGCTTTGTCAGCCAGATCGTGGTTCGCTTTTACAGAATGGACATCTCTTTAGATACACTCCTTATAAAGATTATTACGGGAATGACTCTTTTACATACACACTATCTGATGTAAATGGAAACCTTGCTACTGCTTCCGTAATCATTTCTGTTCTCAACATCCCACCTCAGTTCATTTCCTTTCCAATCCAATTGCAAGCAACTGAAGATGTGATAGGTCCCAGATATGGGTAGGGTATCATCTGCCACTGTACTTTTAATTTAGTCGCACCATATTTGAAAGGTTTTTTTTGGATAATTCAATCCATGATGATTGGTCCTTTTTATTCATCACTTCCCCTCACTGCAGTGGTTTCTCTGCGATTGTGATAAAATACTCGGATCCAACAGAGAAAATCTGTGTCACTCTCAGCGCTCGATCTGGGACTGTGTTCTTGTCTCCTGTGCTGATGCAGTTTTGGCAGCCCATTTGGGGTGAATTTTCTGCAAAGAAAGGGGATGATGCAGCTAAAGATTTAATCTTAGAAGGTGGTGTAGAAGCAATCAATCTAGCTCTTCAATCGATTCAGTATCTTGGGTAGCATCTACAGAATCACAATCTTTTCCCCTTATAATTTCTCATCTAAGCATTTATTCTATGAATCCTATGTTACTGATAACTTGTTTTTCCTTACTCTATTCAGAAGTGAGAATTTCTACGGGGATGATGTTATTCATGTTTCTGCCACCAACAAGAATGGAAAGAATGACCTGGATGTTCCAGTTTCTGTTGAGCCTGTCAATGATCCTCCGGTTATTAAAATCCCTAAATTTATCACACTGAAGAGTAAAGAGGACGAGTCACTGATATTTGACAAAGCGATAGACAAGTTTGAGTTCTCTGTTGGAGATCCAGACCTTCTTCGATACCCTGGTATATACATGAACATTTTGTTTAGCCATCAAAATTACTTAGGACTTGATTGACTATTTTACTCTCAAGACCTAAGACAGTAAAATGGTAAGTATAATTGACAGAAATGTTTTCAGGGACTTGATTTTCTTTGTGTGGGTTATTTGCAGGCAATGAGTCTGGATTTATAGTCACATTTTCAGTGGAAGTAGACAAGGGATTCTTGGTAACCAGTCTAGCAGCTGAGCTTCTTAAGACAACTGAACTTAAGGTGATGAGTAGTTATCAGTGGCAACCAATACAGACATATGTTTCTATCTCAAGACATTTTATGGTCAAAGCTAATGGAGTCAGATTCCGGGGGCCGCTTAATGAATGCAACAGTGTCATGCAAAAACTGTCCTATGATGTGAGTAAGCTTCTTTTATGTTGAAGGTTAAGGGGAAAAAATGTTTCGATAATGTGCTTCTGGCTTTGGGAAGTGACTTAGTTGAGATTATCAACCTAATTCACTTTACAAAAAGACTGTTTAAATGAAGTTGGCAATCATCGTTGTAATTGATCTTTTTCTCTAATTCTCTTTCCCCCTGTGGG